ACATGACACTAAGTCAGCCACAGAAAACTATTATACCACCAGCTTTTACAGACCAACTCTCTGAACTCATATGGAACATTTCCAATCATAAATATCATTCTGAGGATATGTTGCTGTAGAAAATATTGAATCTAACAATAACTCTGACCAATGCATTTTAGTCAATATCAAAAATGTATTTATTGATTACTTTATTCATTTAGGTTAGCATCACAATCACGCCATGTCTAATATAATATCATTATTATTGGATTATGTCAAATTCATCATCATCAAGTATTGGATATTCCACAGCCATAAACAGAAAAAGTGACAAGTGAGTTCACGATCCAAATGATGCTTCAACACAGCGGCATGGTGATCTTTGAGAAGGCAATCCTTCAGCTCAGCCATCGGGGCCAGGAGGGAACGAGCCTGTCCTTGTGAGTTCTTTACAGCTGCAGGGAAAGACTTTTTTTTGCTGATAGCACAAAAGTGTCTCCATGAGGCTAATGCTTTATGTCAGATTGAACCAAGAAGCACATTATCACCAGGGACTCCACCTTCACTTTCTCTAGAAAAGCATTTTTTCCCCACAACACTCACTGCTAAGATTCTGTAGAAGCAAAACGGCTGAAAAAAGCATGGGGCTCCTGGATGGTGCCGAGAGTCCGCAGCACTCGTTTGTCTGTTCTGTTTTGGGTTTTCAAAAAAAGGAAAATGACAAAAATGGAAGGATAGAGCAGTGAGAAAGCAAAGAAAACAAAACAAAAACCCCAAGTGCCCAGCTCTGTCGACTGGCATGTGCAGCGGGCTGCCGGTCACCTAGCAACAGGTCGCCGCACCACCACACCCCCTCCCCAGCTCCTGCTGCGCTCCCTAATTCAACAAATCTGCTCCCGATGTAAGGCTGCTCTTGCAACAAAGCCCAGTGCTGTGGGGGCCTATTGAGCAGGACTTTCGGAGGGGCACTGAGAGCCCCACAAAGAGCCTAAAGCACGCTCCCAGAGAAAACAGCAGCTTCTAATTGTGTTTGACTGCATAATGAAAATGATGTTCTTTTTGTAAGGGGCTTGTTAAGGCCACACTATTTTGCTGTGGTCACTTGATGATTGTAAAGACCCAGTCCTCACTTGGCCTGTGGGCCGCTGGGGAAACACTCCCCTCTCTTTACTTTAACCCCTCTTATGTTTCAAGTGTTCTCTGGCAAAAACATAAATATGTAGCCCCGTTCATTACAGGACAAGAGCGAGTATGCTACACAAAGTTCTTTTTTGGAAAGTGGAGAAAGCATAATGGCAGTTGCACACAAACACAAATGTGAGTGCTGCCGTGGGTGCCCTGAGTCGTGGAGCATTGAGAAGGTTAGCATTCCTGCTGCTACTTCAGTGAATCAGGCCATTAGTGGGAGCATCAGGCTCGCACCCAAAACACCGCTTCAATGGACACATTCACATCCAGTGATTATTTGCACTTTTTAGCCCCCAATTTCCTGTTTTATAAAAGTGTATTTTCCACATTCATCTCTCGTAACCCTTTTTCTACTCACTGCTCGGCTGTGCCAAAGGTGAGGTGCAGTCAGGTGAATGCCAGGCCTGGAGCAGAGCACAAAAACAAACCCCTTTGGTCCACCACTTACACTGTAGAAAACAGAGTATCTAAGATTTACTAAGTTTAAACAAATGTAAATGTCTTGTTATAATACCACGCCTGTTCACATAAGAGTCAACATAAAGAATATTGGAGAACGATAGTGTCTTTGAATTCTCAAGGCTGGCCAACACCCTCCAAGTGGAAGTCTATTGAGTGTCTTAATTAGTTTGTGGTAAGCTCTTTCTCAGTTGCTCCAGGAAATAGGACTGTGGCCAGGGTGAGAGGTCAGAAGAGACAGGGCATCCTGGTTTTCTCCCACTCCGAAGCGCGATGCACTCAAGGCCAAGTCACAGCCTCCACAGACATCACACACCTGTTGTGTATCTGCTGCATGTCACCTATACAGCCTACTCTGGTTAATCTAGAGGACAAAGGATATACACTGTAAGTGTCGAAATATATGGTGGATTTAATACGAACAATAACATTTAAGGCTTCAGCAATGCATCATTTCAGTCAATAAGAAATCTATCTCAAAAACATCATTAAATGCAAAGTAAATATGTTTTAGCAATAAGTATGACTAAAATAAAGAGTTTATGAACTATGTTGCCATTAGTGTATTTAGCTTTTTGTAATAGAAAAATGGGTTAGGGTTAGGGTTATAACAATGTGGTCATTATTACTTCCTAATATTATACAATCTGGCAACACTCAATATGGCTGCACTCCACAACATATGGTTCTACTGGGCCCTGAGGAGTTCTGTTCGTTCATTTACATTTCCCCCGATGATGCATTTAGAGAGGAGTCAACGCAAAAACATTAGTTTCCTTTCAATTCTAACTTGAGATGAATTTTCACAACACAAACATGGCAAACATAAGCTACTTAATAGTTTGTCAAAAGTAACAAACGACATTTGAGGAATAGACCAGGAAGCACATTGACCGTGCACTAATAATAGGCAAATATTTATCATTTACTATACATGCATTCTTATACGCCGCCCATATTTAACAAACACAACTATACACTTACAATATATACTTACATTTCCATAAACGCGAGCCGAACAGATGAACTCAGGCTAGGGCCAAAGCAAGGGGCAGGGCCGGGACCAGGGCAGGGGGACTAGGGACGAGAGTATAGACTGTACGAGAGTCGGCCCACTGCTTTAAGGCGGTTTGGGTTTTCACGTTAATTAGCGGCAGTTGAACTGTGAGCCGTAAATCAAGAAGGGCCAAGTGTATGCAGCACGTGGGAGCGGACCACCCAGGGGACAGGGGCCGCGGCCCCCAGCGCCCCCAGACACTCTGTGCAGGTCACACTTGCATACATGGGCTAGCCTTGTAGACAGTGAATGAGGAAAGTCTACTCTATGCAAATACAAGGATAACCATCCAGGCCTCTTGCTAGTGATGTGTGCAGGTTTAAATAGTAAACTCATTCAACTGTGAAAACCAGACACTCATATTGAGAAATAAACAAAGCTAATTGCCGTTTGTTTCAAGAAAGAAGACGGGAAAAAATAACTCTTTCTCATAATAATATTTTTACAAAAGTAATTCTTGGCACTATAAGTAATGCCTAATTTCCTTCCATTATGACAGCCCACAAAGCTAGACCACTGGCTACTAAAATACCAAGGTTAATCTTGATTAAATGTCTTTCTGAGGCACAAAAAGCATATTTTACATAAAACATCCTTCAAGGAGATTGAAGTATGACATTTCCAACATAAAATATTGCTGATGGCAAGGCCAAGCATCCCACCTCTCAAATGAAAAGTATCAAAGCGGACCATAAAAAACCATTAGAAATCAGCAGCACATTAATATGGCTTGTGTGTCTGCTCATTATCTACTCCCCAATTCAAGTCACTGCTCTCTCCAACTTTCAACCTTTTTATAAAGCGCATTTCCCCATTCTACTCCAGTCTTTTCAGAGCTGTGCTGCTGCATGGGGCGTCTACACTCAGTGTTGAGGCCAGAAACTTTTGTTCAGTGGGCCCAGTCTCAGCAGGAATATCCTCCACCTGCTGCTGAAAGCCGAGGCTCACGATACAGCACACACACAGAGCAGACCCATTCAGCCCGGACATCACTAAACTAGAGGAAAAAATACTTATTAGCAGTCATTTGATTGGAGAAATAAGGCCAGGAATGCAGATATTGTTTAAAAATGTAACATGTGAGTTCATTTAATGGTTTGCATTCCGGTAGAACACAACTGAAGAGGGGGTTCTGGTGTCTCTGGTGATCAAGGACAGAATAAAGTCAGTTTCAGCTCAGCTTCAGCAGCGTCTGGTTCGGCCTCTACAGTTATGTTAAGGCTGACAGATGTGCCGCGCGGTGGCCTTAACATTTAGAATAAAGCGGCCTATTTTAGAAGAATATAGTTAAAATCTGCCATTAAACCAACACTGTGGAGACAAGCATGAATGATAGAAAGACCAAAGTGATTAACCTCGTGCTGGTCTTTTGGTTTGACTGTAATGAATGTAATGATCATTGAGGAATTGTTTTGAGAACATGCAATTGACTGGAGTAGCAGAATATAGAAGTGAGTGTGCAGCAGGTCCATGGGGCTCGGCTGGTGCTCAAAGAACCACAGCGAGCAGACAATTAACCTTTCACTCATTCCATCCCCACAGCAGAGGTAATACCAGCAAATGGCAGCATCCCCTTCACATACATCCACAACGTCCCGACATGAAATGAGTCCGTTTTCTATGGAAGGAAGCACCAGCTGTGGTTCTATAATGATACTGAGGCGACATTGTAGAGATTTGGATTCTTCTTCTATCAGTTTCAGCTGGTGGTGTGCCATGGTATTGTTGTTAATAAATAAGGTGTGTTCTTTATAAATATTATAACAATAATAAAGCCGCAGCAGTATATCAATACTCATGACACATCACAATACATATCGAGATACAGGGTACTTTCAAATCCATACAATATAGATTCCTGAACAATACAATACGATATGTTTAAGTAAAAATAAAGGCCTTTTGGCTCATTAACTAATGGTCCACCACCGTTGATGCATTTAGATTAGTTGTAATTATCAAAAACAAAAAAACAAATAAAATATCAAAACAATATTGATAAATTTGAACTATTTTAAATCTGAAAAAAAATGGTCGGGGGGGAGTAAAACTATATGACTAGATAAAAAAAAAATGTTTTTTGAAGATCAATACGTTATTTGGGGATTACACTTTCCCAGTATGCTTTTGTGTACTTTGTCTGCTGAAGAGGTTCAAAGTGCAAACTATTATGACAGTTTGTTATGACGAGAACGTGACTTTATTGGTGTTTTATGTTTGACATAGTGGAAGCTCTCGGCGGACACTGGGACGTCCGCGGCCTCAGAAGTTTCTGGAGAACAGCGGTCAAGTGCTCCCACAATGAAGAGGAGCTTTAGCTGAAACCGCGGAAAAACAGGATGTCTGGGTCCTGGGGAGAGAGCAGGGCGCATATGAAGGAGACGTATGGAGAGATGGAAGCATGCATTAGAGTTAGGTTTGTACAAAAGTGGCTCAAAAACAGACCAAAAGTCAAAAGGGCAGTTTAGGGGTTTTCATAGATAAAGGCAAAAATCACAAGACAGTAGTTAGATGCAAGAGGAAAGAAGTTACTAAATCTGGCACATGAGGCAGGGAGAAGGGGTAAACATGGACACACATCAAGGGTGGGGCAGTAATCAAGGACGGAAGTAAATCTGGAAACAAGGACAAGAAAAGGTGACATCAAAATAAAAACACAACAGCACAGGATGTGACATAGAGCACCTGTGTGTGATCATACAGACTACACTCACATCCATACCTGTGCATACAACTGATGTACTTTTAATGTACTGTGATTATGTATCATTTGAAGGCCTTGTGTGATTGTTTAATCTTGTTTTGTTAAGCCTCCCAAAGGTTTTTCTCCCACAGGGTTTTTAGAGTTGTTTTTTGCCAATTCAGAACGGTCAAAAGGGACAATCGGCATTCAACGACATTTATGGACTTGAGTAACATTTATGGACATACAGTGTGTCACCCAATGGACCAATGGCTATATGTGTTTATCATTGCATTTCTTGTGTTTGAACTGTTCTCTGATCTTTGTTGGCGAATCAATGACTTTGTAAAGTCCTCCGAGATAGCTACTGTTGTGAAAAAATAAAATAAAATTGAATTGAGCCTTGTGTATGAATTGTGATGAACTTTGACTAACCCAAAAGGTGCCTACAGGAGCAGAGAGGAGCACACAGTCTCCTCCATGACAGAGTGGAGACAAGCAGGAAGCCACATGCATCAATGAGGAGCCAGTGGGACACAATGGGAACAGGCGTATTGGCTCCAGAATCATGCTCGAGCAAACAGCGGCTCCAAAGGAACGCAATCAGTGGCATCAATACAATTCTCAGTAAAGGACAATCACGTCTCAAAAACATTCACTGTTGAAAAATACTTTTGAATCGACTGGAGCTGAACGAACACAAAGACGCAATAATAATTGGATAATTAACGTGTGCTTTATTTGTTTGGAACTCACGTAAGATGGGATTTAATTCAGCTTCGAGAACAAATCCTATTGTGAAGAATGCTTTGCACGGCCATTACTCTTTCCTTCAATTTGATTGCAGTATTTGTGTTCATCATTGTTGTTCAGTTCAGAAGTTTTAAGCCATTTGGCAGAAAACGGGAATAACAGGAATCACTCTTAGACTTTCATGCATCTCAGGGACATGTGTATTTTGGTCAGAGACAAACTTTTATAATCCTCAAGATAAGAAAAGCCTGAACGGTATTACCTCACTCGCATTTGTTTAGGCAGGCTTTCTCGCCTCACCTTACATCGGCCTATGTGTACTGTGCTGGAGGATGAGTGCTTCTGTACATCTCTGTATTATGTATTGTATGCTCTGTTAAACGTGAATGTAAATGATCCTGGACTGGGAAAGGCGCTAAAACTTTTAATTAAGAAAATATATCATTACACATTAATTGGCTGGGGGTCAAGTGTCCTATTGTTATGTTACTTTCTGTAAAAATGCTATGATATTCAACATGTTATTTTTATGTGCCTGGTAAAATGTGAAAAAACACTATGTAAGTTGATTATTATAATATTTCTGTCTACAATCCATGCAAATCTAAACAAATCAGCTCATTTTGAATCACGGCAGGGCGCCCCTATTCACGATTATGCTCAGTGTTGAGACTGGTCCAGGCAATTTACAGATTCCACAATTATATTTTCGATGACTGAACTGTTATGTTAGCAGTTTGCGTTTCAGAGCTAATGTCCCCAAAGTTGCAGAGGCTTCAGTTTCACTACACAAGTAAGTCCTTTCACTGGAGTGCAGATGTGCGTGGCAGTTGTTCTTGAATCCCACTGCAACAGTCCGCACAAAGACTGTTCCTGCTACAACACATTAATCTTATGTGTATCCACAGCTCACCAGGCCCCGGCCCCTGGCTACACATGACATTAATCCTAACACTGGGGCCTGGCATCGCCTTTTCGCCATTAACGAGGTAAGGTGACAGGATCTGTGAAGCGGCACCTTCTCGTGATCCCAGGCAGGCTGTCCCAGGGCAGACACACAGGGGGAGGTGTCAGACATGTCGTGTATGACAGCCTGGATGTGGCCTGAAAAGTCATCTACAGCTACTTGAGTATGATCAGGAGGAAAGATGCTGTGAGAGGTTTAGTAACAGCCTGAAGTATGTTATAGTCTTTAATGCACAGCAATGATGGCGTGGCTCAGTCGCTATAGCAAACCTTTTGGTAAGAGGGCTACTTTAGTTTGTCAGGCTTGTCCAGTAAAATCATTTATGCCAAATGTGACAAAGATTTCTCCATCATGAGATCAATGAAGTTTATCTTATCTTTATTAGCTATGACAGGGCTGGAGCTGGCTGAATATTAACTCTAATGTAGTTGGTGAGATTGACAATGAAATTTTAAAAAGGAATAAAAAAAAGAAAAGTCAATGTGTATATATACAAGTCAATGGAATTAATTCTCAAGGTTCTGTGCTTTACAATGACGATATATTCATGTGTATAGGTAGAGCTGAAGATGGCTGAATGACACTGTGAACTTATGTTTATGATTTAAAAGACTACTTTGTGTTAGCGAGGCAGAAGGCCACATTAAACTAAACCGTGGGCTGCAACTGGCCTTAGTTTGGACATGGATGAGCTACAGGGTGCCCCTCCAACATTTTAAACACAGGTACAAGCGCTGCTTGGAACAGTGAGACTTTGGCAGTATAGTCATGTGGGAGTCATGTGTGCCATATAAACCAACTCACAGGGACTGGCCTCCTGCTGGTGCCCTGAGTCAGAACTAAACATGGGGAGGCAACATTTCAGTTTTGTGCAGCTAAAATGTGAGATAGGCTTGTCTTAAACTGCATTCAAAAGAAGGATTGTATCTTTACTATTTTTCATGTACTGATATGTGAGAATAATCGAAGATTTGAATGGCTTGTGTGACTTTAATGTTTTTCTTGTTTTGCCCTGTGTGTGAACTGTGCAATACAAATAAACTTGCCTGGCCATCTACATACATGTGATTGTTTCGGTGGAATTTCAGTCAAATTATAATAATGACTTTCTGGAAATTGTATATGAAAGACTGTGAATGTATGTAGGGCTGGAGAGAGAGACGCTGGTCATGTGGAGCCAGACAGTGTCAACAGCTTATCTGTGAACGGCTGGCCACTGAGGAGAGCTTGACCCTTTCACCTTCTCACACAGCTCATGACATTATGATGACATTGAAGTTAATCTCTCCCACAGTTTTTAATCATGGGGTGTATGGCCTGGTGTGACCCAAACACATTTATAGCAAACCTGAACTCTACTTGTCCATATAGACACCAGTTTTACTCTAGCCAAAGACAGCAGACGACCCTGTTGACCGGTGTTATCTACAAGAAAACCTGCGACCTTAAATGATAACGTTTGGAATCGTTGTGACAAGATTTTCTGCAAGGATTTTGTAGTTGTATTATTCACTTGACAAATGCAATAAAAACCCCAAACTTTCCAAATCACACACTAGATGACAACAGCATCGCTTTTGTTAAGATTTTTAAGAATGGTTTTGCTCATAAAACAAAAGGGACAATAAAAGTCTAGCTCACAACATGATGAATGCAGCAGAAAGGACACATATTTATTAGTGCACGTTTTTCTCGTTCACGTTTACTGAAAATGAGTCCAACAGCTCAGCACGGATCTGCTCTCTTCCAAGAACTATCCTTTGCAATAGTGAAAACGGTCACTTGCGGAAACAGATAAAAGAGTGGTGAAATAAAGAGATACAAGATGACAAGCCATTTATTTAGTAATACATTCTGCAAACTAGAAATTTCTTCAAACTTCAAAAGGCAAAAAAAAGGAAGGAAAATGAAGAGATGTAAGGATCAGGGAGAAAAATGCATCAATTCACAGGCAAGGAATGCAATTTGTTCAATTGACAACACAAATACTACGATTTAGTTCAGGGAACAAAGGCTTTTTAAGCATGTTTTCTATTTTTCTCTGCCATACCTTTGGAGCTATGATAGAATACAAAATATACAGGTTTTTAGCAATGTCAAATCACTGACAGAGGCCTCGGACAAGATTTTTAATCAACATGACAATATCTACAGCACTTCTCTGAATTTAATCATAGATATATCCAACATGTGCACATAATCCAGTCAACACTTGAATTGGTATGAGATTATGTGAGGTAAAATATTTTCAGGTTTTATTCCTAAAAAGAAAAGTAAAAACATGGGAGGAGAAACAGAAAAGCTTCCAACTGACTACAACTGGAAGCTTGTACCTTGTTGAACCAGGACAGAATCCAAACACAGACATGGGCAACGCACACCGACATTCAGAAGCCAAGGCCCCCCTCAGCTGCTGCATGGCTTCTGTTTCATCATTAGAACCAATAGAGCCCATTGTATTTTTCATGAAGCCTTATAAAGATTCAGTGGGATTAAACACCCTTCGATCAGGATATGGCCAGCTCCAGTGCTGTGCTGAGGGGAACCTGGGCCATGTCTGCTGTGGCGCACACTTGTAAAAGGGAATACAGAAGATTAGGTAAGGCAAATCGGTGAGCTTATCTCTGAGTGGTGGGGAAAGAACCACCACGGTTAGGGTGGCACACCACATAACACAGGAACATGTTGGTTACAAAGAGGACCACTGATCAGACCGCCTCGTGCCAATAATAGGACACAGAAGGCAAAAATGTCAGCATCAAAGAGCTAAATACATTGGTTAATATTTCAGATTCATGATTAAGTGCAATGTATAGCCTTTTACTCTATTAGCCGTTACAATAAGCTATTATTACACTTTGCTAAATCCTTGTTACCCTGTTTGCAAGTATCACAAATAAGTGATTTGAGATGGTAGTTAAAGAAGCAATTTCATCTATGAAAAGAT